CCCGGCTAATTTTTAAAAAATTTATTGTAGAGATGAGGTCTCGCCAAGTTGGCCAGGCGGGTCTCGAACCTGCGGGCTCAGGCAATTCACTCACCTTGGCCTCCCAAAGCACAAGATTACAGGCTGAGCCACCGAGCCCGGCCGGGTGTTCATTATTGTTATTGCATGTTTTTGTATGCCATCACGAGAATGTTGGAGCCTGAATTAGAACAATGAACAAACATTAAAAATTTCTTAGCTGGGCTTGATGGCTCAGTCTATAATCCCAGGGCTTTGGGAGGTCGAGGCAAGTGGATAGCCTGAGCCTGTAGGTTCGAGACCTACTGGGCAACTTGGCGAGACCTCGTCTCTACAATAAAATAAAAGATTAGCCGGGTGTGGTAGCACATGCCTGTAGTTCCAACTTGTAGGAAGGCTGAGGCAGAAGGATCGCCAGAGCCCAGCAAGTCGAGGCTGCAGTGGCCGGGAACGTGCCACTGCACTCTAGTCTGGGCGACAGAATAAGACACCAATTCAAAAAAAAAAATTTTTCTTGTTAAACTTGGCAAGAGTGGAAATGAAACCACTCTAGTCTAAGTTTATGGGGATAATACCAAAAAAACCCCAGCAGTGTACAAGTGGATTAAATGTTTTTCTGAGGGGAGAGAAAGCGTTATTGATAAAGACAGATCAGGACAACCAGTCATTAGCAGAACTGATGAAAACATTGCAAAAATTAATCGAACTGTCAAAATTGTTGGCTGACTGTGAGAAGCATAGCAGACCAAATAAACATCGATAGAGAAACAGGAAAATCTTAACTGAAAACCTTGGCATGAGAAAGGTATGTGCAAAAATGGGCCCAAGCCGGGCTCGGTGGCTCAGCCTGTAATCCCGTGCCTTTGGGAGGCTGAGGTGAGTGGATTGCCTGAGCCTGCGGGTTCGAGACCCGCCTGGGCAGTGAGACCTCATCTCTACAATAAATCAAAAAATCAGCCGGGTGTGGTAGTGCATGCCTGTAGTTCCGGCTACGTGGAAGGCTGAGGCGGAAGGATCGCTGGAGCCCAGCAGGTCCAGGCTGCGGTGGCCGGGAGCGGCCACTGCACTCCAGTCTGGGCGACAGAGGGAGACTCCAACTCAAAAAAAAAAAAAAAAAGGGCCCAAAGGAGCTGTTGCATCACAACGCGCCAGCTCACACATCACTGTCTGTGAGGGAGTTATTTGTTTTAAACAAGTAACTATCTAGCAACACCGTCTCTACTCACCCAATCTGGACCCCAGTAACTTTTTTTTTCAACCAAAGATAAAGAAAATATTGAAAGGAAGACATTTTGATGACCTTCAGGACATCATGGGTAATACAGCAACAGCTCTGATGGCCATTCCAGAAAGAGTTCCAAAATTGCTTTGACAGGTGGAGCAAACACTGGCTTCCCAAGGGGCGTACTTAGAAGGCAACCCCCATGATATTCAGCAGTGAGGTATATAGGTAGCACTTTTTGTAGAATGAACTTGCAAATTTAATTGTCAGAACAAGAATACTAAAAAACATTGCATAAATATTTCAAACGGGTGAGTTATACGGTATGTGATTCTACACTAACAGCCAGGGTTTCTTCTGTATGTCTTGCTACGTCCCTAGGGGCCTCCAGGAGATGGAGACAGACTCAGTTTAATCCTCCTTCTATTTTTCCCAGCAGTGAACTCCTTCCTCAATGGCAAAGTGGAGGTTATAATCCCTACCTGGAAGGGTTACTGTGTTTACCTTTTATTATTATTAATGAGTTGGGGTCTCACTCTGTCACCCAGGCTGGAGTGCAGTGGCACGTTCATGGCCACCACAGCCTCGACCTGCTGAGCGGGCTCCGGCGATCCCCCCAACTTAGCCTTCCAAATAGCTAGAACCACAGGCATGCGCCACCACGCCTGGCTAATTTTTTGATTTATTGTAGAGATGAGATCTCACCAAGCTGCCCAGGCTGGTCTCCAACCCCTGGCCTCAGGCAATCCTCTGGCCTCAGCCTCCCAAAGTGTTGGGATGACAGGCGTAAGCCACCGCACCCGGCCTAATTTTATCTTACTATCAACGAATTTATACCCTGTTTTTTCTTGTTTTTGAACCGGAGTCTCACTCTTGTCGCCCGGGCTGGAGTGCAGCGGCACGCTCATGGCCACCGCAGCCTCGACCTGCTGGGCTTAGGCGATCCTTCCGCCTCCGCCTTCCATGTAGCTGGAGCCACAGGCATGCGCCCGCACAGCCGGCCAATTTTTTGATTTATTGCAGAGACGAGGTCTCGCGAAGCTGCCCAGGCTGGTCTCCAGCCTCTGGCCTCAGGCAGTTCTCTCGCCTCGGCCTCCCAAAAGTGCTGGGATGACGCGTGAGCCCCGTGCCGGCGATCGACTCTGAAACACGACTGCCTAGGGACTTACATACTCTAGGGACACCGCAAGCGCGGGGCCTCGGGGGAGGTCCGGACAGGCCGGGATCTGGAGTCCCAGGCCCGCTCTGTCCAGGGCCCCGGGGCAAGGAGGCAGCAGAGCCGCCCGCCAATCCCGGAGTCCCGGAGCAGCCCCGCGCCCCCAGGCCGGAGCGAAGCCCGGAGCCAGGCCTAAGGGCGTGGCGAGGTCGCTCCCAGCAGAGGGCACTGCTGCCCGCGGGAGGCGCAGAAGGCCCGCAGGGCCGCAGGCCACCCAGCGCAGCGCCCCGGGCGCCCCGGCACCGCCGGCC